CAAACATAAACTGCACGGGAAACACCTCAAAGAATCAACAACTGGGATCGCATATTATTGAAAAGTTTCTGCACTTCAAAAGGAATCACCAACAGAGTGAAAAGAAAACCCAAAGAATGGGAAATAATTATAGCCAGCAATCTGCAGACAAAGATATATCCATGCAAACTTATATCCAGAACATATAAACAATGAAAAACATCAAGCTAGAGGCTGGGGATTTAGCTCAGTGGCGTAAGGGCCTGTCTTGCAAGCAGGCAGTTGTGAGTTTGATCCCTGGTACTGATAAAAAGGAAAAAGACAAAAAAACAAACAACAACAACAAAAAAAAACAAGCCCCCAAATTCAAAGACCCTCTCCAAAAATGGGCATCTGAGATAAACACACAGTTCTCAGATGAAGACATACAAATGGCTCATAAATACATGAAGAAATGTTCACCATCACTGGTCATCTGAGACATGCATATTAAGCAGCATTGAGATTGCATCTCACTCTGAAAAGAGTGGCTGCCATCAAGAAATCAACTGATAACAAATGTTGGTGAGGCTGTGGGGAAAAAGGAACACTGCCCCAGTGTTGGTGGAGTGTAGACTGGTGCAACCACTGTGGAAATCAGTATGGAGAGTCCTCAGAAGACTAGGATGGGAAGTTCCATTCAACCCAGCTAATTCCTTCCTGTTTACTATCTCAGAAAACCTGAAAAGGTCAGATCACAGTGTTATATGTGCACCTATGTTCACAGCAGCACAATTTGTAATAGCTAAATCTTGGAAATAACCAAGATGCCCATCAACCGCAGAGTGGATAAAAAAGATGTGGTATTTTTGTGCAGTGGGATATTACTCAGCTATAAAAAGGATGATCTTGAGGCCTTCATAGGCAAATGGAGACAACTTTCACTAGGCTATCCTCATTAGTGAAATACATAAGATCATATTTATCAATATCACATTGTGTCTCTAGTGTAAAAAGTAGTAAGAAATGTGGGAGTAATAAAACCCAAAACGTGTAATTACTATTACAAAAAAGAGGAAAAGAAAGTGCTCTAAAGGAGGCATGTATGTTTAAGTGTGTAGGTTGTTAACCATATTACTGAGTTTTTGCTCGATAGGTGGACACAACTGTTTTCAGTCTCACTGTCTGAATGTCCATTTTTTATGCTTCACTTTTGTAACTTGAACAACTATTTGTAATAGGACAATACTCAATTATCAACTAGTGATTTCTTACTGTTTATTTTTTTGAAATTATGTATTATTTCTCCCCTTTTCCTGTTTTTTTTTTTTTATTTTTTGGTCTTTTTTGAGATGGGGTGTTGCTGTGCAGTTCAGGCTGGCCTTGAGCTTACTTTATAGCTCAGGCTGGTCTTGAACTCACAAAGATCCTCCCACCTCAGCCTCCGGTGTGCTGGGATTACAGGCGTTGAGCCAACACGCCTGGCTTTTTTTTTTCTTTAAATAAAAAAAATGAGTGATACAGGGCCAGGGATATTGCTCAGTGGCACAGCACCACTGAGTACCCCCCAAATGGCAAGACAAACACAACCATGAAGGTACCTTTCGAGGGACTGAGGTTCTTGAGAGAGGACAGTGATGTTTTTTGTGCAAATCAGTCTGCTTCCCAGGAGCCTAGCTCTGCAGTCCAGCGCATCCATCTGCCCGAAGTCCCTCTCCTGAGAGGTGGGTGCCTGAAGCAGCAGTGGCCACCAGCATCCTCACTGGTGTAGGAGCCACAGCGCACGGGAACCGGGAGGGGATGATGCCCGGCTGCCTCAATCTCAGCGACAGAGATTATTAATTGTGCAGGCATGTGATGCCCCTCCCTGCCCTGAGTAACTTCTTTATCTCTCTCCCGAGACTACAGGGGAGGCCTGGACTGGAATCATATCCTCAGAACTTTTGGTGTTGCTGCCAAGAGCTTTCCTCTTAAAAACAAATCTGTCACTAAAGGCCGTTTGCTAATCTGTGTTTTGTGACACGCTATGGGAAACGGGACATGGAGGGTAAGACCGTAGAAAGGAACACAGGTTATAAGATACTGTGCTGCTCAGAAACCAGGAATCACGTCCAGCTCTAAGACTGTTTTATTCACACGACACACACAAATCCCTTACCATGAGTAATAAGAGTTTTGTTATTTTTCTCCTGTAGTGCCCCCAAGGGTTTCTAAGGCACTTAGATGGCTAGTGTTGAGCCCAGGGCTGCTCTGGAAGGTGACACGGTCGGGTTTGAGCGGCCTGAGTGCTGTGTCCGTGGGCAGTGGCCCTGGGCAGACCTGCACAGAACCCCGCGACACCCTCTACACGTACCTAGGGAGGGGGCCCGGGCACCCATGTTCTGTGCAGGGCTGAGCACCAAGGTCAGGAGGCAGAAACAGGCCAAGTGTCTGGCACTGGGAGTGCAGTCCACACATGGTGTATTTACCCACGGAAATCCCACCCCTGAAACACAGGAATTCTGCCTTTGCATAGGGGGAAGGTCCTGCAGGGAGAGGCACTCTGACTTCCCGATACGTAGCCTTCTGCACTATTTTTAAAGCCACAGAGGTCGATATTTTATAGTCATTAAAAACATAAAAGAAAAACATAGGCACCAAAATCACCCCACCATGTTTGGTGGGAGCATTACACAAAATAGTTCAAATCAAACACGGTGGGTGGTTGTGCAGGATGGGAGGAGAGGACAACAGAGAACCGTTTACAGAGAGGATTTTCAAAAATCTTTCACTGTGCCCGTGGGTTATTTTGAGCGTCTCTAGGGCGGGTGGGAGAGGGATTTGATCATGACAGATGGCCACAGAAATACGCTAAGATTAGTGCAGAGTATTTGGGGAGGCTGCTTAAGATAACTGCCAAATAACTCGCATGACTTAGAGAACCATAGGTTCTTAAGTCAAGATTGATACCAGAGGACACCCCTCTTTTTTCTGGTACTGGGAATCGAACTCAGGACCTTGTGCTTGCCTGGTAGGTGCTTGTGCCACTGAGGTATACCCCTGGACCAGGAAACCCTTTAAAACAGAGAGAATCCTAGTGGTTTCTAGCTCTCAAGTCAAAGCTGTCACAGGATATATGTGTGTGTGCTTACGTGTGTGTGTGAGTCAGTACACGGACACATGCATGTGTGAGAAGGCATCGTAGGGAATCCAGAGCCTTTATTGGGTACCAGAGAGATGCGAGCCAGGAATAACGGAACTGTGTTCTGCCTAAGGTCCCCAGATCCGAAGGCTGCAGTGGCCACAGAAGGGGTGTCGGCTTTCTCTCTAGCACCCTGGAGTCTATGACGTGATGCAGAGAGGACTTCTGTCCACACTTAATGAACCACAGTCGCTCATGCCATGGAGGTGTGTCCCCTGAAGGTTCTGCACACATTCTGTGTATACCAAAGCCGGGGTCCGGTGCATCTGCAGGAGTCCCCGGTCCTTACAACCTCTGCAGTCTCACTGTAGCCTTCTCCTGTGGCCTGGGGTGGCTGGGCTGCTGGGACCTGATTCAGGTGCTCCTGTCTCTCCCAAAGTCTGGCTGTGTGTACACATGTGATCTGTGCACACAGAAACCTTGATGGGGACTGTGGGCCATGCAGGCGGGTGGTCTTCAGAAGAGGCCTGAGAAGCCACGAGTCCTGGTCCCAGTTTTACTCATAAACTCGTGACAGTTAAAAAAACAACAGTCTAGGAATCTGAGCGAATCAAGCTCAGTGAACCAAGTGACTTCCCGCCAGCCCCAAGTGGCATAAATTAGAAAGAAGAGAATCCTTAACTGTAAACATAAAATCCGGCCTCATCCCAGTCACTTGTGAGTCAGTGACAAGTCTCCAACCTCATGTTCCATTGCTTCGAAGCAAACAGCCGGAAAAGCTGACTGGTGTCTGGCCTTCAGTGGGAAGGTGATCGCCCTACAGGAAACACCTAAGCCCAGAAGAAATCCACGGAGAGCCACACAGCCACACCGTGGCTTTTAAGGCACATTTTAAAATGTGGAAGAAACAGTAAGGCAGATAATTATTTCCTTTAAAGCTAAAATAAATTAGCATTTAATTTTCTTTAATTAAAATTTACTCTTTCAAGCAAGAAAAGAAAAAACGATTAACATCTTTCTTTAAATCTTGAGAGAGGGGTGGGCTGGGCGTGCAGCGAGATGGCAGCATCTGCTTACCACGTTCGAGGCCCTGGGTTCCCTCCCCAGCACCCCAAAATACAGAAAACTCTGAAAACTGAGAGCTGACACTGATGCCTTTACGAGATGAATAACAATGTGCAATCGTTGGCCACACTTTTGGAGAGACACGAGCACCTGAATCAGGGTCGCAGCACCCGAGTCACCCCAGGCCACAGGAGATGCCCACAGTGGGATTGCAGAGGTCAGAAGTTGCAAGGCCCGGGGACTCAGGCAGGTGCACTGCACCCCGGCTTTGGGTCTGCCAAGCAGTTGCAGCACCTGCCTCCCGTCCAGATCCTGCATGAGCTGACAGGCAGTCCCTGCTGACTCCTCTCCGCACTCTCTACGAGCTGTGCTCATTTCTGTCTCAGCCTGACGGCCCGAGCTCTGGTCCCCAGCTCTGCTCATCTGGAGCTCTCTGTTGCAGAAAGACACCTTCCCTCTCCTTGTTCTGATTTTATCTCCTTTATCTGACAGATACTGGATGTGGGGATTGGCAAAGTACATTTCCGGAAACCTCAAAATTCTGATCAAGGATGGTCTTCTCAAATTTAATTTTTGTTAACTTAATTTTTCTCCACAGCTGTGACTCCCTTTATTCTAGGTTCTCTCTTTAAAGTACAACTTCAGAACGCTGAATTTCAGGGACAGGTGACTTATTATACCCACAGATCAAGAGTCCCCATCACATAAGGTTCCCGCCCAGCAGCCTTTTGGATGCTGCCGTCAAGGAGACCTGGTTGTGTTTTTGCTGCTGACGCTTCTGACACCATAGCAGACACACCGGAACCACCCCGAGTCTGTATGGATTTTTCTCTGTCTGTATGGGATTTCTGCTTACCTGGTAGAGATCATTTCTCATGTTGATGATGTCCTCGGAAATCAGTCCTGAGGTTACTTGCAAGAGGTCCCTCACGAGCTGGGCGTGGAGGTGGATGACAGCAAGGTGCAAGACGCTGGAATGGAGCAGTGTGGAGAACTCAGGAAGGTGTTCACAGCCAAAAAAGACATTCTCAAGAAGTGACCAGACTCGGCTGAGCCTGGCTCTCGGATCCCTGGTTTCACTTGGCCAAAGTTGGTCTGAACCTGTGAAAGCTCCTTGGAGGCGAGCTGCGCCTGGCACTGGGTGGCGGTGGCCCACACCTGGCTCCTGGAGGTGTAAGGGCCAGGGACCCACACTTGAGTCCCAGCGCCACCTCTGCACCGGTCTCACAGGCGCTTCTCCTTTACCTCCTGGACCTTCAGTCTTCCTGACACCCGGCTGGTGCACGAGAGTGAGAAAGCCTGCATGGGCCCGCTCAGGGAGATGTGGTTCCCTGGCCCTCCCACCCGTCCGTGCTGTGCTTCGTGCCTGCTCCTGTCCTCCATCCCCCTCCCCAAACCCCCATCCTGGGGAACTTCCCCAGCTGGAGACTGGCATGCCTTCTTAGTTTGGTTTCTACCTGACTAAGGACCTCAGAATTCAGACTTTCACCCAAAGGTGACCCGAGCTCAGGGAAACCAGTCAAGCCTGAAGCTCTTCCTTGTCTACACTCTCAAGAGAAGCATATTTTGGGCTCCCCAGGTGCATCCACCTGGCCTTTCTGAGCGACTGTGTGCATGTGTGTGGGACCCCATGAGGAGGTAGAAAGGCTCCTGCCAACCTTTTGGGGTGTCCATGTCCTGGCTAGATGAGCCTCTCCCACCAGGTAGGTGCCCATGGGAGCTATATGTACACTGCTGACGTGCAGGTGCCCATCTTCCTCAGATACATCAGCTCCACGGGGCCCAGAGCCATCACTGGGAACTCTGCTGTCCCCTGGGTTAACCTCGTCCTTTGCGGTCACATGCTATAGATTACCGCCTGGATTTAGCCCTAAACAGATCCTCTGCTTGTGCGGTCCCTGCAGGAGGCCAGTGGTCTCACTATGGTTGTGCTGTGAGGATGGAGAACAAAGGTCTCCTTGCTCAGTCCCCAGGCCGGCCCTTTCCACAGAGTGGGCTTCCTTTTTTAACTTAGAAGACAGCACTGGGAGCCCGGCCACAGAAAAGGCCTGCGGGGTGTGCGCACTATTTTTGGAAGGTGGTAGAGAAGCCTGGAATCTGAAGGCTCCTGGCCCTGTTTATTTTTATAGGCCTTTGAGATGACTTTAGAAGTCACAATGAAAGGATGAAGAGAACTCTTTTAGAAAGAGGCAGGCGGCTCCGTGGTGCATTTGCAGGAAGGGGCGCAGCGTGGGGGCTGTCAGAACTGCACCAGGGCCACAGCCTGGCCTCACAAAGCACCACTGTGATTAAAAGCATGATGAATGCTGCCGCTGAGTGCCATCCAACAGAAAGGCAGGTTCATAAAAACGGGACGCTGTGTTCTCACCCACTTTAGTCACCAGATCTGGCACTGGGTGACTCCTAACTCTGCCCCCAAATCATAATGAGCACAAGGGAAGCTTCTGAATGAATTCAGGAGGGTAGTGAGGCACCCACCACGGCACAGCCGGAGACACTTAGGGAAGAGAAGACCAGAGCTGCCTCTGAAAGCATCATGGGCGGTGGGATGAGCGTGGGCGAGGCGACAGTATTCTGAGGCGGATTCGTGGTAACGTCTCTTACTTAAACATTGGCTGTATTTATCCATCCCTTCTGCTTCCCTCACTTCCCAGCCCCAGGATGATCCTCACCACCTGGGAGCCCAACTCACCTGTCGCCATTCTCATCCTGCACCGCGGTGAGATGGCGCTGCACAGCCAGCAGCATCTTCACGTCCCCTGTGACTGCGTAGTCGAAGAGGGCGTTGGCATGGCGCTTGGCGAGCTGCAGGGCCTTCTCCAAGAACAGGTTGTCTGCAGTGCGGGGAGGACAGTCATGTGAGCCAGGGCAGAGCTCAAGTCCTGACAGCGACACCCTTGTGGGTGCAGGTGCTCCTCCCAGGCTCTGCTCTGTTTCCCGGAAGCAGCACAATGAACACCGATTCACGTGGTGACCGGCCGCACTGGGGACGGAGTTAGACAAACCTGACTGTGCCTAGCACGGGGAACTTCAGGAACGGGGTCAATGTCCATTATTTTCCAGGAAACAAATCAATTTCTGATCAATGCTGCTTGGGTATTGCCATGATTTAAAATAACTGATCCCTTGGTAAACCTGAATCTCTAACAACTACCTGGTTAGTCGGCCTGTCACAAAAACACAGCTCCCTGCCACAGGCAGATAACTTTGATCAGCCATGTGGTGTCCTGGTCAACTCTGGTCCTTAAGTCACAGACTGGGGCCTGGTAAGGTCCAGACAGACCCTGCACAGCCAGTCATTCTGTGTTTCCTGCTAAGCAAGGTCAGCGCATTGCTGAGGGAGACAGGAAGGTGCACACATGGTCGAGACTGTGTGTGGCCTCTGCGTGTGGAAGGAGCTTCAGGGAACAGCGAGGGTGACACGGGACCCTACCACCCACGAGTGCTGGCTCCACGTGAACACAACAGTGTTTTCCCTCTGCACTCTGTTCTGCAGTATAAAAGCAAAGTTCCACCTTCAAGCAGCATCAACCCCGTGAAACGGTGACCGTGACCACTGAGCGCCATGCCCTAGGGATGCAGGAACTGGTCTCTGTTATCTGCACCTCAGAAGGCGCTGATGCTGCTCACAAAACCCGAACACTTGCTCATGACTCAGAACGTGCAGGTGGATCACGGAAATCACTGCATGCACAGGTTATTGGGGTCCCCAATTGAGGGGTGATTGGGCCCCGCTGCCCAGCAGAAGCACCCCGGAGTACAGTGGACAGAAGGGAAACGTGCTTGTGAGGAATGCAGCCCCCCGCCCCCAGCGCTGCGCACCCTGAAGCCCCATGTCCTTGTCCTCTTCTGCCGGGGCGTGGGTCAGCGGCACCCCGTCCTCCCCGGGGCTGGGCTCGGCAGGCTCCTCCTCTGCTTCTGTGGCTGGGAGCACTGTCTCATTTTCACCAGCATCACAGCCTTCAGGGTCCTGATTCCGTTCAGTGTTTACAGTTCCTGCGGGAAATGCAGAAAAGCAGCTGCTTCTCATCCAGCCTGCGTTAACATTCGCTGTTTCAGGTAGGTCACGGGAGGCAAGAGGGAAGTGTGCTGGAAAGGAAAGCGAAAATGCTAATAATACAATAATTCTAACAGACTCCATGTCCTAACTAACATGCTTCAAGGCTTATTTATTTATGTATTTAGTTTTCAGTTTTTTGGAGGCAAGGTCTCACTATGTAACCCAGGCTGACCTCGAACTCACAGTGATCCTCTTGTCTCAGCCTCCCGAGTGCTGGGATTACAGGTTTGTCTCCCACACCTGGCACTTCTATGTTTTTAAACTACACTTCTAAAACTTAGGCATTGTTTCATTTATCTGTAGAGGAGAAAAAATGAAGTAAAGTTCTTCTGTTATTGGAGGGAAGTGAAAATTTTTAAAATTCTTGAAAGCATAACAGTGATTGTCTTCCTCGTGCTAATGGACAAGGCAAGGTGTGTGACAAGGTCTCCATTCACGTCCTGCTGGCCATTTCTGGTCCCACTATGCTGTCTGATGGGTTCCCTAGAGCACCTGGGGTTTGTGCACACACCTGGTTCAAATTCGGATTCTGCTACTGCCTTTAGCAAGTGCATGAGGGGGACTCAGCGTCCTCCCTCCAGAGCAGCCTCAGAGACTACGGAGGGAGCCGGGCTCTGTTTTACAGAGTGGAGTGAGGCCTGACTGCAGAATGAGAAACACAGTCAGATCTTCAAAAAGAAAAGAGAAGAGAAAAGGCTGGGGATTTGGGTCAGTGGTACAAGTGCCTGCCTGGCAAGTGCAAGGTTGTGAGTTGGATCCCCGGTACAAAAAAGAAGGAGCAGGAGGAGGAGGAGGAAGAGGAGAAGACCGCAGTCAAGACAGGCCAAGAGTCCTTGTTATAGAAACACCGTTACCATGTTTCATGCCGGCGTTGGACTTGGTGGTTCCAGGATGGAAGGCGATCCCACTGTATGTCGGGAATCCGTAGTGTGGGAAGCCATACCCTGAAATGGCAAGGACAACTAATGGGGCCGCAGGCGGCTGAGAGGCCCCGGGACGGTCCCCCCTGGCTGAGTTAGTGAGACACGCTAAGGGGACCCGGACGGCCAGAAGTCTGCACCACAAGAGCTAAACTGAGCCGAGTCAGGTAATGCCCACGCCCAGCAGCTGGGGAGCTGGAGCCCAGGTCTCTGGGATCCAGATCAAGGGAAGGGGCTCACAGGTGGACACACCCTGACTCAGCCTTGCCTGAGGGAAAGAGAAAATCACCCTGTATCAGGAAAACCAAGGTAACACAGGAAGCATAGTGATCCCCACGGAAAACTGGTGACCTGAGTTCTCATGCCTCTTGGCTAAGAGGGTGACTGGGATGTCTGTGGGGACACAGCCGGCACTAGATGTCCGACCCTCCGACACGGTCATTTTACTTCAGAGAGTCTAACTGAAAAGTAACCTGAAATACAGGAGAGGCTGCGTAGACAGCAGAGGGAGACAGCCATGTAGGTAAAGACAGGAAGCTGCTCTCAAGTCGGTTTGCCCTTTTGGGGAAATACTGCAAGTTGGTAAAATGGTGCTGGTAAATCACACCCGGGCAGCACCTGCCTGGCCAAACGGGAGTGCCCGAGTTCCCTGGAGGTGACAGGCGCACAGGACCACACACACAGTACGGGTGATTAGAACAAGGGGGTGAAAGTAACGTGCATGACCAGCACAGCTGTGCTCAGGAAAAACTTGTAAATACTTACCATGATGTATGCATAAAAATAAGAAACAGTTAATCTCTGATGGCAGGACTTGATGGTTTTAAATTTTCTGTAACCAAGTAGGTACACAGACTCTGTAGTCCAGTGTAACACGTATGTGTAATGTAGTGGTGGGTGTATGCATGTGTGTGTGTGCATGTGTGTGTATGCGTATGTGTATCTTTTCAGTATTTATTAAGGAGAGCAACAGAATCACCCCTTCAAAGAAAAGCAGAGGGGAAACCTACCAATTTACTTATTTATTCAGCGAGGTCTCACTATGTAGCCCGGCTGTCCTTGAACTTGCAGCGATCCTCCTGCCTCAGACTCCTGGAGTGCCGGGAGTACAGGTGTGCACTCCCACACCCAGCTATGCCAAAATACTTAGAGAAGTGTTTTTGGGTAACAGGCCTTGGGCGGCCTTTCCTTCACCTGTGTCCCCCGCCAGGCCAGGTCCCACGGTCTCTGGGGACGCCACACATTCCTACCATACAGTTTAATTATAAATCAGGCACAATAAGAGACCTCACTACCAATAAAACAGAACAATCCTAACGGTGTGCCGTGACAGACTCATGTGGCTGTGGTCTCTCTCTCTAAGGAGTCAAGGCAGCTGCTGGTATTTTTAGCCTGACGCTGACCACAGGTAACTGAAGCCACTGAAAGTGAACTGTGGAGAGAGGTGGGTACTGGGCTGTAAAATGAACATGCATGTCTTAAAAAACAAAGGTACACGTGTAGGGAAGTTTTAATTAGAGACCTCACTTTTTATTTATTTATTTTTTTTTGAGATAGGGTCTTGCTATGTAGTTCGGGATGGCCTTGAACTCACTGTGTAGTCTAGATTGGCCTCAAACTCGCAGTGACCCTCCTGCTGCCTACCAAGGGCTGGGATGACAGGTGTGCACCACCATGCCCAGCAAGACCCCACTTTGAATGATATCGCAGTCACTGCACACACACACATGTGCCTGGAGGCCCCAAACAGGAAGGGGGTGCCCTGCCCACCCTAGAAATGCTCTGGAGGGCACAGCCCTTCTGGGTACCTGGTCCGGTGCCGCCTGTGCCCCCTGCTCCGCTGCCACCACCACCAAACATGCCCCCGCCTCCTGCGCCCGTGCCGCCACCACCGCCGCCGAAGCTGTCTGAGAAGTTGGGCATCAGCTTCTGCCGCTTCCTCTGTACTTCCTCTTTGTCTGTGCACGCAGGAAGGGAAACAGGAGAGAGACCGATTCAGTTCCAGGAGCCGCCATGGGCTTCTGATTCTCAGAGTGTTTTATATCGTAAGAGGAAACAGAAAGCACATGAAGAGGAAGAGAAGCCACGCCGACTCCAACTCTGGGTCCGAGGCTGCAGGTTCTGCAGGCCCGGGGTGATGCAGGCTGCACCACAGCTCCAGACCCCAGAGACACGGGACAGGATATCCTCTCCTAACTGGCTGACACTTCCTGTGCATCCCCAGGGAGAATCACCACACGGTGTCTGCAGGCAGGGACAGGTGGCCAGGAGAGCCGCGGGGTGGCTGTCAGGGCAGCAGGGTAAAGGTTGGGGGGTGCATGGACCAACAGAAGCACGGGATTGGCCCTGGCAGGGAACAGGTAGTGGAGCAGACAGGAGCTCGGTACGGTGCTGGCTGACACGCCAGGAGGAGGACAGGAGGAGGATGGGAGGAGGACAGGAAGCGGTGGAGAGAGGACTCTGGGCCGATGAACTCAGCAGAGATGTGCAGGCAGAGCAAAGGTAAGCGCAGAGACTCCTAAGCAGTGGCCTGGGGTCACCCCAGGGGGCACGCAGCTTTGACACGCCATCAGGAGTGCTCCTGAGCATCCTGGGCTCGGGGTGGTGTGCACAGCTGGGTGCCCATCCCAGGCCCTGCCAACCAGTGGGTGCAGGGTGGGACAGTGCTGACGGCCGGCGCTGGCCACGTGGTCATCACGGTCACTGCCGTGGAGATGCGTGGACCCAGACCCGCGAAGAGATGGATCTGGGCCCCCGTGCCCCGTCCAGGCCACTGCCCCTGGGGTCCGCTGTGCACCCTGCTTCTCCCTGCTTCTCTTTCTCTCTTCTGTGGGTGTCTTACCCCGTGTGTCACTGTTCTCCCTTCCCTCTTCTGGGTGAAGGAGTTTTTGGTTTACACCCAGCAGTCAACGTGGCATTCTTTTTCCAGTCAGGGGCCAGGTATTTAACAACTGTCCTGTTTTTGATTCTTCAGTTTTTGTCAGAAAGATCCCGACTAGTTTCTAACCCTGGGGTGGTGGGCGTCAGGCTGGGGCTGGAGAGAGGACTTTGGGGTGACCAGAAGTACAGCACTTTCCCACCGCTTATACCATCGCTAATCATAGCTGGACTCTTACTCATAGGGCAGCTGTTCTCACACAGAATCCCCGTTTGCTGCAGGAACCTGAGTCACTGCTGGGTGTGGCGGTGCACGTCTGCCATCCCAGCATTCCGGGAGGCTGAAGCAGGAGGACTCTGAGTAGGAAACCCACCTGGGTAGCTTAGTGAGACCATGTCTCAAAGTAATATCTAAAGGGCCGGGAATTTAGCTCAGCAGCGTCAGTGCCTGCCTGGCAAGTGTGAGGTCGTGAGTTTGATCCCTGGTAATTGAAGAAAAAAAAAGTAAAACCTAAAAAGGGCTGGGAATGTAGCTCAACGTGAGGCCCAGGCACCCTAGGACCTCAGGCAGCTCGAAGGGGGAAGTGAGAGGAAGTGGGAAAGACAGGAAGGGACTGGATGGCTGCCCACACCCACCAGCACCCACACTGGGGTTTCCAAGAGATACTGGCAGGGGGGGCACACCCACGCCTGACCCAGCTGCAGAGAGGTCACAGCCCAGGAGGACACACAGCTTGCTGGAGCATCTTCTCATCCCAGGAGAGGAGGGTGGGGTGGGGAGAGGTCTGGATCTGTCTCTGGGCCTCATCTTTGAGTCAGGGGTGCTGCAGGAGATACCTAAGGCCCAGCACAGCCGCTACACCAAGGCGTAGTTCTGTCCTGGACTCTTTAGGGAGGTGGGCTCAGACCAGGAAACATCCGTAAGTACTGATCCACCTAGCGCCTGCTGTGTCTCAGCCAAGAGGCCCCGGAGCTGCTCTGGCCTCTGACCGGACCCCATGACCCACCTGACTCCCACAGGACTGAGACGAAGCCTGGTGTGCTTTCACCTCGATCCTCTCTCCCCTGGCCTGCTCTTCCTCCCTGTCCTGTGTGATCATGTGCATCTGGGAAGTGACCCCGGCCCCTCCCCTGTCCAGGGCCTCCTGGCTCCCTTGCCACCTGGACTCCATGGCTATGTGGCCTCAGATCTACTTCCCTCCACACTGCGGAGGGCGAAGCTTCTCCTGGCCCACGCTCTCACCCGGCTCTGCACTGCGCTCTGACCTGCCGACAGCCCCCTGGGCCCTTGGCATCTCCTCGGCGACCCTGATGCTGCCACTCCACACTCGGGTGGCCTGGCTGTCCCTCAGACCCGTGAGAAACCCCTCCACTTCCGGGTACACCCTCCATGTCCAGGGCCACGTCACTGTGGTCATTGCCGCAGCTGCCGGACTTGATGCCAACTGGGGGCTCCTCCACCTCAGCAGCGAGCCTCGGTTTTTGTTTCTGCCTGACTGAACTACTCAATAAATACTAGATTTCCAAATTTGAACACAAATTCTCCAGGGCCTAAACCTCATACACGTTTGGTGGAGATTACACTATACTTAGAGATTGGACTAATTCCGCAAGCTCAAATTAGCATACTAGCTATCTCATCTCTAAGATAGGGGCCGTGGCTCCACCGCTGCCCAGGAAGCTGTTCAGCAGGTGAGGAGCTGGCTCAGGGTGTCCTCTGAGCAGAGCCAGCAAGAGAGCATAAGCCATGGTTACCTTTGATTTCGGGGTAGTAGAGGAAAGGCTTGGGCTCGCTCGTTTCCAAGTCTGACTTCCTCCGAAGCTGGACAAACACAGATGCCGGTTTGGTGATGTTGATGTCTTTATACTTCGGAGTTTTGAAGACAATAGCAAACTGCAGGGCACAAAGATGCACAGGTTGGTGGAGGGCCGAGGTGTTGAGGGTGGAAACGCTGCACTCTGAACACATTCTTTGCATTTTAGTTTATATCCATGCTCAAAGTGTGCTCCAAGAACACAGCGCCCTATAAGGACGTTCCAGACCCAGCCGGCTCAGCATTCCACACCCACACACTTCTGTGCCTCCACCTGTGTGAAACTGAAACACGATGCTGTTACCATGGACCTCAGTCTCCACTGTTCCATCTGCCCAAAATTTCAGGCAGCTTCCGGTTGTGATTATCACACAGACAAGATGACTGCACAAGCTTATTTCTCCTCTTTGACATCAGTCTCAAAACCTTCCTACATCATTTTGGGCAAAGCCTGTGTAGACAGAGAGAAGCAGCCAGCACCTGCTTTCCTAGCTGAAGAGGAAACCAAGCCAAACCCGTGCTCAGAGTGCCTGACACCTTCACCCCTGCACCGCTGGGATAATTAGGCAATGCGCCATTTGTTGGTTTATTTGTTTATTATGTAACATATTCACAGGGGTTGAAGTTTAATAATTAATAAACTATGGAAAAGGTGCACAGAGTGGAGTACACGGATAGCACTCCCTCCCCTCACGGCCCTGAGTTCACCGGCCCCAGCCCGAGGACTCTGTTGTTACTTTGCTATACCCCTATGTGGTTTCTTATGAACAAAGAATCATTTTTACAGTCATGATGCTCTCCACCTACCTTTTAAACGTTCTTAACGTTGTACCTTTGAGATCGATCTAGGTTAGTCCAGAAAGCACTCACCTGTTTAAGAACTGCATGCATGGCATCTTAGATACACTATGATTTATTGAACTGGTAGCTTATTGATCAATATTTGAGCTCTCAATTTTTTATAAAAACGATGTTTCTCAATCATTCATAAGAAGGAAAGTCATCATGAATGTGGAGGTTTAGCAGTTTTATCTCTGGTCATGCTGCTGGCTGTCACCAGGGAGTCGTCATTTATCAGCCAAAACCCTGCTCAATTGTCTCCTCCGTGACTCATCTCTTGACACAGGGTCTCACTGTGCAGTTCAGGCTGGCTTTGAACTCATTTTGTTGCCCAGGCTGGTCTCAAACTCACAGCAACCTTCCTGCTTCAGCCTCCCTAGAGCTGGGATTACAAGTGTACACCAGCACCCTGGCAAGAAGCCTGTTCCTTTTTTACACTTTCCAGATTGATCTGACAGGTCTTGATACAGCTTTGACAGAACATCTAGAATGCTTTCACAGAAAGGCACCACGAAGGACAGAGGACCAGAGCCCAGGGGTGAAGTCTCACCAGCCACTCAGGCCCGTGGTCCAGTAGAACCTACCAAGGTTCTGTGGTGGGAAAGATTTCTAGATGGCCTGCAAAAGTCTTCAAAATAGTGATATAGGGGAAGGAAACTCCTCACCTATTGTATGTCCTGTACGAGTTTGTGTTCTCTAAAATGAACTTTAGGAACAACAGAGGTTAAGAGCAGAAATATTTAGTGAGAGAAGGAAAGCTTCTGTCTGAGACAGAGACGGAAGGGGTCCCGAGTCGGCTGCCAGGGACTCTGTCTTTTCTCGGGATTTTTATAGAGTAAAAACCATGAGGTGAGGCGGGTCTGAAATTGGGAAAAACTGGGAACTTGTGCGGTAGACCGGCAGGAGGTGGGACAGAGCTATGGTGGACCACTTAGTTTAACTGTTCAGGTAAAATTGACCAAATCAGGCACTAATGGGGAAGTGAGTCACGTAGGAAGCGAGCGTCCTTACAGATCGATGATGTTTCTTTAGGGGGCTGGGATGGTGGCTCCTGGCTTCTCGAGGTGATCCGGATTTAATCCCTAAGGATTATACTTAAGGGTGTGGCTGCATTTGTTTGGCTTTTTGCCCTGAGATCCGGGTCACAGTGAGAGGAGTGTGTCTCCTCCAAGGTCACCAGACCTCTGGTCCTCGGTGCCGGCTTCTTTGAGGGCCTAGCCCTGTCTGACTGCCTATAATATTTCTAACTAACTCAGCTGCCTGTAACAAGAGTACTACTCAATGGATGTTAAATAAATCTTTGCGATGTTATCTGTTTTCCATACACAAAAAGTAGGCACGGAATGTCATCGAGGCGGGTGTGAGCGATGACAGGGATGTTTCTCTTACTTGTCTGTGGACGTCCGTCGGGGAGAAGTCTCCAAACCCTTCCCAGATGCCTCCGTTCTCCTCCTCTTCATAGAACCGAATCTGAATGTCATCTGCAAATGGTCACAGGCAGGTGTGTCACTGCGTGGACACGAGGGCATGCTGGAAGGTCAGGCTAGCTCAAGGGTCTCTGTACTGGACACTCCAACTTTTTGAAAATAATTAGTATGGCAGATGTAACATTTAACAGGTATACAAACTGTGTGCTTTAAAACCCTCACCACAGGGAGAGGTCCTAAGTTTCACTTCTCATGGCAGAATCTTAGGTTAACGGATCAACCGAGGGCTCACTCCTGGTCAGTGTGGAACCTGCCCCCGGCGCTGGCGAGACCGGAAGCCCAAGGAAGGGTGTCTGAGCCCCGGTGAGCCTCCCCCGTGCTCACCGCTGCACACAGCAGTTAGCTTGCTGGGAGGCTCACCCCATTTCTATGTAAACGCCAGCTCCTTCTGCCCTCACACTGACCCCGGGAAGTAGGCCTTCTTATCTTCATTTTGCAGTAGGGAAGCAGGCATTCAGACAGTTTCCTAAGTACCTTAACCCGAAATGGAGCAGCCAGCGAAAGGAGAAACAGGCTCAGAACGCAGACGCCAGGTCTCAGTGCCTCTCAGTGCCCGAGTGCCTGCACTCTCCACCCCGCCACCTCCCATCCTTCCAGGGTCCCTGGGAATGAGCAGTCACAGGGCCCAGGAGGCCAGTTCACTCGGACCGGCTGTTCTTTATTTCTGCAGAAATAGGACCATGTGCCTCAGGCTGGCAACCCCCTGGCTTCACTTCCCACTTCACAGGAAAGACAACACCACCAGCTGATGCAAGTATGTGTGAATTTCCATTTTAGGAGGGTGGCGAGGAGGGCTGGGTTAGACAAGCATCCCACTGTGGTATGGGCCACTCCTCCGCCTGCAGGCAGGGCTACCCTGGCTCTAGTTTTTCAGATTCCTTAAGCCAAGGACAAAACTTCTGTGCCAGGCCAGGAGTAATGACCATTGACACAAGCAAAGGCAACTCAGCCTGGAAATGTGTGCTACTGAGGACAGAGGGCAGGGGACAGGCAGGGGACAGTGTAAGCAGAGAAAGTGTCCACGGTCAGCGTTGTTTAGATAAAGAACACACATTTCCTTTACACTCTGCTCTCATTGTTTCCTGATTTCCTGTCTCAGAGCATTTATCCTGTACTTAGCAGAGCTGTGCTGTGTTTCCTTAGAGTGAAGTTTGAGAAAGTAATACATAATCTCTGTTTTCACTGATTCGTTGATTTTCCAATGGGTCTAATGAGAATAAACACCAAGAACCTCTGCCCCAAATGCCACCTGGAAGAGAAACATGGTCTGAGAGCTCCCTGGCCGTGACTTTCTCCACCTGGCATCACAGGTACCTGCGGAAGTGGCTGGAGAAGGTCTCTCAGTGCTACAAGACAGTACCACAAAATGAGCAGAGCCGGCAGCTTCACACGCTCTGGGGCTTACTATTAGTTCTGTTAGAGTGTGTGTGAAGCACGAGCTGTCATTTGTTTATCTTAGTTTAACATGTGTGAAAAGTAAAGTTCAAGGTCTAGAAACACAGGCGAGCACTAGCTATAATTAGCACTATTTCTGTATCTCTCCTGATTTCTGTGGGACATTTAAGATGAATCATATGGCTGGGTTTCACCAAATGACACGGACAATGCACCCCTGGAGAAGGGGCTCCATGGGAGGGACTGAGTTCCTGAGGAACCACCCAGCAGGGACCCAGGGACCACGGGACTCAGATTCTGAGTTTGGGATTGGAGAGCGGCCTTACCTTTCTGTACTTTGTCACAGAGGAGGTAAATCTCCTCCCCGCCAGTTACACATCCAGCCGTTCTGTCCATTCTTACGATTTTCAAGTTGGATGCATTGGGAGCCTCTGTTCAAAGGGGAAAACAACACACGTCCAGGTCCGTCCTCAGCCTCCCACCGACCCCTGGGAGCCCTGCTGGGCACGTGCTCCCCAGCCCAGTGCAAGCACATGCGGTCCCCTGTGCTTCAGCAGGGACTAGATCCAACAAAGATGTTCCAAAGGTCCTCAGCATGCCTGCGGCAACAGAGCCATTCGGGGTCACCGAGGCAGACGAGGGACAGTGAGGTGGAAAATGAGGGCATTCGAGAGACAGCAAGAGCTCCCGGATGTTTTAAGAACCAAGTCGATGGGCTTCTGGCATCTCAGTGAGGTCAAGGATTTAACCCCAAATCTGTACCCGAAACAACTTAGAAGCAGCATGATATTCTTAAACTACTTCTTCGTTTTTATCATACAAAGAAAAGCAGAGATGTTTTATTTCCTTTCCCCAAACTAAATCAGGACTCTGTGTGGTTAATGGTAGAAGTTTCGCGTGGTGAGAGAGTCAGGCTTCCTTTTCCTACTGCAACAGCTGCAGTTTAAGGCAATCCATGGTATACGGTCAGCATCATTTTAGAAAGCTTTCTCTTCCTTTCAAACTTGTTTAAATTAAAGAAATCTGTTAGCCACGGTACTCACTTCCTGGAATTATCTATTACACCAACTTCTATACACATGCAGGCTTTCTGGGAATACCTGGTTAATAAATGCTACCACCAGGAGAGTCGCATGGTACACGCTGACGACAGTGATAAACTCTGAGGATGTTCTCGGAGCTGACCTCGGAGGGGATTTGGGAGTCTCGTACTCTCTACACCATGTATTCAGGTAACTGGGGTTCCTGTCTCGGCAAAGCCAACCCCCGGAAGGAATGAGAGTAAGAATGCAGTCACCCTTCATCAACCCTCTTGCAGGCTCCCCAAGAAAAGCACTCAGAGACCTTTCCTGCCCCAGGCACCCCTTTCCGCTTGGTGACCTGTGTACGAGGGAGAGGTTTGGCACTGCAGGTAGGACCCTACTGCCCACCTGAGGAAAGACAACTGTATTTCTGCAGCCTGTCTTAAAGTATTTGACCCGGGCACCTGTGGACCTTTATGCTAGACCACCGCATCCCGTTCTGCAGAGGACAATGCCGAGGCCAGCTGGGCAGGCACAGAGCGGCTGCAGGTACTCACTGCTGTCGTAGATGGCGTCAGACACCACAGGCTCCAGGCGCCGCGTGAAGCTGCCGGTGCTGTCGGGCAGGAAGGCGGTGAACATGAGCCGCACCACGCTCAGGTCCATCTCCTTGGTCTGCTGCAGGGCCGCCTGGCGGATGAGCTCCTTTTCTCGGTCTGCGGCGCCGTGCGGGGGAGGCGGGAGGCAGGTGTTTAATGTGCACATTTGTACGAAGCCCACGGACAGAGATCAACTTAAAAACCCACTTTTATATTGTTGCTAAGATTTGAAAAAAAAAATCATTCCCTTGGTTCACCCACAATCAAAGATAGTGAAGAAAGGGGTCTTGTATTTCTCTGGATTATGGTTAAAAACTGTGTGTGAGTTCTGCCTGCCTCCTGTGGGCCCCGTCTGTCTCCTCTGTCCTGTCAGTGAGAGTCAGTGAGGCAGGAGGACATGAGGCGGCCAGCAGAGTGGCCACCACGCACCAGCGACATTGAAAGTGAGGGAGGTGCTCACACCAAGTGCCCGGAGCACAACTGTGCGTCTCCATGGTGCCTGCACAGGGCCTGGGGCACAGGACTCAAAGAGGATTTGGAAGGACCTAGGTGGCTCAGCCACATCAGGCTGTGTCCCTCCTGGGGCTTCTCAGGCTGGTGGACAGGGTCATGGTGAGTTTCCACACCATAAAAGATCACATTTCAAGTGCTGAGTCCCCCAAGGGACACCAGGGTCACTGACATGGAGTCCGTAGGAGGCCATGGTCAGAGAGAGTCTCGATGTGTGGAGGGGAACAGGAAGAGTGAGCAGGACCAGGGAGGGAAATCAGGGTGCTTCTGGGGACAGACTGGAGATGCAGCCTGGGGTCAGCTCCCAGCAGGCACAGTGCCAGCTGCAGAACTGGGGTGCGATGCAGGTTTGGGAAGGTCCGCCCCTTCCCAGGGGGAGACGGAACTAGGAGTGGGAGGGGACGACACCTGGAGTGAGGGACAGAGGTGAGCAGGACGAGCCAGGACAGCACGGGGCATAGTGTGAACAGGGCAGTGGGCTGGGTCTGGAATGCGTGAGGACCAGGAGGGCACATGTGAAACCAGAAATGAGGGGCAGGCACAGGGACAGCCACAAATCCGTGATGAAGGCAGCATTCCTGATACGCCTGCTCAGAGAGCCCTGTGCCCTCTTGAGACCAATGATGCTGGGTTAGCCAGGTTCCCAGGCAGGGCCGGGAGAGCTGTGACTCCGCATCTGGGACTTGGGCAGCCAGGATGCAGCAGGAGGGCCGCGCACACAAGGAGGCAGGAGCGGGCAGTGGCAGAAGGGGATACACCAGACTCACATGGGGACAGAGGCCAGGCGTGACACTCACCCGTGAGCTGCCGGTCGCCTCCGCCACCCTCGGCCTGCAGGTAGGCGAGATCGGGGTGCACCAGGAGCCCAGGGTTGTAGCCCCTGACGCACGCGTCTGTCATCCGAGCCTCCAGGGTCTCGAACACCTTCTTCTTTGTCACGTGGAGGATGCCCAGGTTGGCGAAGCTGGAGGGGAAGCAGCGACAGCAGCAACATAATCATCAGTCAGTCGGGGACGCTGGCTCTGCCTTGGCACAATGGGTACCCATATCTTGACGGCCCAACCCAATCAACCCCGATGGGGGCATTCGGAATCAAGGCTGTCTCAAGAACGGAGGCTGGCCTGTGCCACACCACGCATCGTGTAACCCTGCCAGGGCTGGGTTGCATGGTGCAGTGAGACCCGGGAAAACCTCTAACTGGATTCACTGAAAGGACACGGACTACAAGCAGCTGTGTCCCCACTTCCAGCAGGCTTTGCTAACCGTGTGTGTCTGCGGCAGGTGCCCAGCCTTTCAGGTCACTGCTTCCGAGGTGGCCAAGCTGCGTTTCTGAGGGAGGGCTATTAGACATTAACGGGGAACTCCTATCTGGATTCATTTTAGGATATTTTCTACAAGAGTCTGTAAAAGTAATCTCAAGTTCCAATATATACAGTATTTTTCAAGAATAGGAAAAATATTGCATTTGGAAGTTTGTTTTATTTGCATCCTTCTTGGGTTTCTGGATGGGACTGGAAGTCTCTCTGGGAACCCTGAATTCTTTGGGTTTTCTGTAAGATCTGGATTCTTTACTGTCACCAGAATTGTCATCAAACTGCACACAAGCTCAGGTTTGAGTGCTTACATACAACCAGACAAGGAGCTTCTTATCTCGTGTCTAGAGAACACGGTAAGTCAGCAAGCTAAATAAAGCAACTGAAAGGTTTTAAGAAAATGCATGCACGCATGGTGGTGCATGCTGTAATCCTAGCACTCAGGAAGCCGAGACAGGAAGATCACTACGAGTTCGAGGCCATCCAGGGCTACATTATGAGTTCAAGGCCATCCAGGGTTACATTATGAGTTCAAGGCCATCCAGGGTTACATTATGAGTTCAAAGCCAGCCTGAACTACATGGTAAGACTCCCCAAACAGACAAATATGCTCCATCCATAGGTGTTTTAAGCTCCATTAAAAAAAGATACAACAAAACACAGGAAACAAATGACCCAGAATGTACTCCGTCAGGGAGACTCATTCACTCAGCAAACATGTGTCAGGTACTTTCCAGAACCAGAGCATCCTGAAGCCTATGATGGCGCAGGGTGACCGTGACAGAGTCCACATGCCAGATGGATGACCACACAAGGTCCTGTACGAGGGAATGAATGTTATCAGGGAGCACAGAGTAGGAATGAGGAGCAGGAGAGACAGAGCAAGAGGCCTGGGCGAGGGCAGAGAGGACCTGGGAGGACCCAGCAGAGACAGAGAGCAGCAAGGCCCCCAGTGTGGCTGGGGTGCAGGACCAGAGTGGGTGGGAGCAGTGCTGGGTGGACGAGCAGGTCCAGTGCTCTGGAGCCTGTGAGCTGCTGGATGATTCTGGTTCTTCTGCCTCCGCTTACACAGGTTAGCAGAGGTGAGAATGGGCCGGGTGGAGGAGTGGGTGGTGGGAAACCAGAGCCAGTGAACGAGGACGGCCAGAGGAGAGGCGAAGGCGGGCAGAGGACGGCAGCTGCCAGAACAGCAAGTGGCAACGTGGCCAGTACCTGTGGGACAGGTGAGCACCCGGCAGGAGACTGTCTTACACCAGGTGGACGTGCGTGGAGCCAGAGCCTCAGGGGTCACCTTGCCGTGTTCAGAGCAACTCCAACTCCCGCCCAAACCACTGTGCTCCCACCACAGCTGGCAGGCTGCAGAAGTCCCGTCCAGAGACTCTGGTATGATCCCGGAGGGCCCAGGAGGGAACTGGCCATGGCTGCCACCTCCCTGAGGGAGGACAGGGAGCTGAACACTTAAGGAGGCTGAGGCAGGCAGGCACTGCAAGGGGACACAGATCCTCGGCGATGTCATGTCCCAAGCTTTCAGCTGGGCAGGACTGGAGCACGGGCAGGGAAGCCACCCCAGACCACTCGAGCAACACAAGGAACAATAGCTTAGCCACAGTGTCAGAACAGCACCAGGGCTCCCTGGCCTCCCAGGAAAACACAACGGTCAATCCAGAGAAAGCCAAACAGCTTTATTCCAATCCTCCAAAATACCTACAGACATGTAAAAAAACCAGCCAAAATCGACCGTATTTGTGGTCCAACAAAAATCACAAGGTGTGGAAAGAAGTAGAAAGACTTAATTCAAATGAAGACAAGAATCCAGCCGTAGAAACAGCCGGAGGTCATACAGATGGCAGAGTTTCGTCCCGTCAGGTACGCTGGAACAGCCGTGACCTCACAAGGGCGTGGGCAGGAAGGACTGGTGTGGTGAGGAGAGAGACGATGGGACTGAAAGAGACCCGCAGAGATCTGTAGAGACAGAAACTACAATCTCTACAAGAAAAAGACACGACATGAAGTTGAGGACGTGGTAGACACTGCAAACCAAAGGGTACGTGAGCCTGCAGATGGAGTGGTAAAACCGCCCCAAAGGAAACACAGAGAAAAGAAGAGAAGGTGGGATGGGGAGAGGGAGAGAGGGAGAATATAAATCATCAATGATCTTAGAAGAGCGGCAAATGGCCAGATACCTGTGCCACTGGGGCATCCCAGAATAAGAGGAAAAGGAGTGGGCAGAAAAGTATTTGAAAAATGAATGTTTAGAGTTTTACAATTTAGTAAGAATATTAGCCCAGAGAACCAATATAAGAGAACCAAGAATTCCAATGAAGTCAAAGCACAAGAAACTTCATATGAAGAGAACTTAACTCAAGTCCATCAGAATCAGCGGGGTCAGAGCTGGTGACCAGGAGGGGACCTGCGATGCTGCTCGAGGACAGGACAGAATGGCGTGTAGTGTGAGGGACAGAGGAGGGACAGGAGCCCTCGTGGAGAGCAGGTGGACAGCCACACTGCAGACAGGAAGGACAAGTGGACACTGCCACCTCGAGCGTGCCGCCCTGCATGCCCTCCCTGAGTGACAGAGATGAAGACCTCCAGGTGCAGAACGACCGACCACGGAGTGAGAAGAGCTGCAGGATGTGCTTCAGGCAGAGGAAAATGGGGCCAATAAAAATCAGGACCCACAAAATAGATGAGGAGCATTGCAAGTGATCAGTGGGTTTATGTAAAGTCATTTCCTTAAAGACTAAGACCAAGCCAGGTGTGGTGGCTCAGGCCTGTAATCCCAGCACTCGGGAGGCTGAGGCAGGAGGACTGTTGTAACAAGTTGGAGACCAGCCTGGGCTACAAAGTGAGCTCAAGGCCAGCCTGAGCTGCACAGCGAGACCTTGTCTCAAAAAGACCAAAAACAAAAAACAAAAACAAAAAAAAAAAAAAGAAGAAGACTCAGGCCAAAATGAAAAACAATGTTTTGTGGGATTTACATCATTAATGTAATGTAAAATACACGACACAGCAGCACAACACAACACACAAGAGGTGCAACTTAAGGTTCAAGATGTACAGTGTAGATCCCAGAACAGCGGCTTAAAAAGACAATGGAACATAAATGAAATCGCAACAAGCTCAAGACAGAAAGACCAAAAAAAAAAAGAGGACAAAAAGAACACTAGACAGCTGTGACGGGCAGAAACAAGACTGGGCATGATGGACTTCAACACAGCCACATCGACAACACACTGGCAACACGCGGTCTAAACACAAAGTGCAGAGTCAACTGCGTGCAGTGCACACCCATCCCGAATACAAACACACAAATAGGTTGGAACTAAGATGCACAGAGAGTGTTCTGTACTAACATTAATGAGGGTGCTGACACAGCTAGAAGAGACCTTAGTATAAGCAACAGCCCGAGGATAAAAGAGGGCCATCTCCTAAGAACAGAGGCATGATTCATCCAGAGAACGTGAGTCCCAGACGTTTATGCACCTGATAAAGGCGGTTCATAATGGAAACCAAAGCTTTTAAAATGCAAGGAGAAACAGACGTATCTGTAAGAGTTGGAGATTCCCAAACTCCTTTCTCAAGAGTCAACAGAACCAGTAGACAGAAAAGCAGTGACAATGTGGATGGCTTGAGTAACTGAATCAAACAGCTCTCCCCAAGGACGTTTATGGAGCATTCATTCACCAAGACGAGGGTAAACGTTTGCGAAGAACACCAGGAAATGTGGCTAAGACACACCATATTCTGCACCATGAAAGAAGTCTCAATAATTCTAAAGGATACAAATCATGCCAATTGTTCTTTTACCACAATGGCATTACTCAGATAGCAGTAACCAAAAGACACCTGGCTGGGAATCCATCTAAATCAAGATTGGTCACTGGATAACTAACTGTTGAAGCTGGGTGATGGGTGTAACCTCTGCTAATTATGCTATTCTTTCCACTTTTACATGTTTGAAAATTTCCATAAGAAACAGCATAAAAGAGGCTGGGAGTGGGGGTGCATGCCTGTAATCCTGAGAGGCTGAGGCAGGAGGCTGTGGGTTTGAGGCCAGCCTAGGCTACAAAGTGAGTTCAAGGCCAGAATGAAGTGCCTAGGGAAACTCTGTCTCCAAACAAACAAACAAACAAATGTATAGAAGAAAAAGAGAGTAGGTTATCATGGGTATATATGAAAGAAAAACTCAGACTACAAATAGGAATTCATAAGACTATGAAAAGGTTCAGTCACTCCTAAACCAGTTTGGTGGCTTCTTATCAAAATAAACACAACTTCTGTCTTCTCAGAAAGCTAGAAAGAAACAGTGTCCTTCAGACAGGTGGATAAACTGTGGCGCACTGACACCATGCAGGGCTACCTAGAGGTTAAAAGGAATCCGCCAGGGAAGCCTGGAGGTTCTACCCTCCAGCTGCAGGGCGTCCTGAATGGGCAGACACGGCGGGCAGGGCAGGTACATTTCCCAGGCCTGCTGGATTACAGAGGTACATAGGGCTGGTGACAGAACTGTGCCCTACCTCGCCCGTGGTGGTTAAGTGAGTATTTGTCAGGACTCTGAAATGAACATTTTAAAGGCTGACTATTGCAGTGATTAAGTTCTCCTTCCATAAACTGACTGTTAAAGCTAATAGAAGAGGCTGGGAGTGTAATCCCATTTCTTGCTTAAAATGCCGTATGCTGCTGCCTGGCCACCAAATGAGCATTATCTTAGAATCATTAGAAAACAACCCCGGGGCTCCCGCCATGCCTACAGGTCTGGAGCCCTGGGCCGGGCCTTGGGATCCATGCTGTCTGCAGCAAACCCTCAGCAGTCCTGGTGACTGCTTGCCCTGCACGGTCCTGTGCCACCAGACGGGAGTCTGGGGGAGCACCTGGTACCCGAATGTGCACACGGTGACCCAGGTGACACTGGCAGCCAGGCCTAGACCCTGGCACTGCCCCTGAGTTTTTCTGCTCAGTCTTCCCTGGCTACATCTGAGTCCCTGTCCCCTGGCTGAGATTTGGAAGTGGCTTTCCCCGTGCCTGGCCTCGTTCACAGCTGGAACACTTCTGCCTTCTGGGGGTTCACACACAGCCTCTGCCACACGCCCACCTCAACCCACCCGAGGCACCCAGCCTGGGAACCTGCTGGCCAGGAGCTCCACACGGCCACCCAGCTCACATGGATAGACACACTGCTTCTCCTCTGTACTCTACCTGCCCAGGTCACCCTCTGTGCCTACCAGTACGCACCGTGTGTATTGACTGAAAAAAGAAAAAGTCTGAAAGAATTTCATGGAAATGGAGCGTTGTTGAAAAGTTGGTGATATTTCAAGTTAGAATGAAATCATCAAACTAGGGTTCTTTTTTCTTTAATCAGGAAAGGCAGTAAAGACTACATAAATAAGAACTAAGACAAGGTAAAAGCTAACCCAGATATTTAAAATGTAAATAAATATTAAAAAAAAACACATAAATATTTTAAAATGAAGTAGTTTTGAGAAAAGAACGTAAGCATATTGAGAATTCCCGCAAGAGCAAGGTGAGGAGAAACACTGCCAGGAGGAGTCACTGTGGGCGGTGGGGCTGGAGGGCCTCTGCCCACTGCCCGCTGCCCGCTGCCCGCTGCCTCTGTGCTGGGGCCGCAGTGGACCTGCACTTAGGCCCTCTGGGTAGCTGAGGAGCGCTTATCTAATCTGGTGCTACTCCTAGCAGGAACAAGCCTGCGGAACGGGCTGCCGCCACACAGCTTCTCTGCTGGCTCTTCTCGCCTGCAAGTCAGAGCCGAAGAGCAGTCCCGGCGCCTCCCTCCGCACCGTCCGCCAACCCTGGCTCCATCTACGACCCTGCAGACAGACAGAGCTGGGAGACAGACCCAGGAGTGCAGGCTTCTCGTCTTATAGGGGCGAAATTAAGGTCCCCAGACGCAACTCTTCTGCTGTCAGGGGTGGGGGTGGGGGTGGGGGTGGGGGTGGCACCTGGCTCCCAGCTGCTCCTGCTTCAAAAAAGCAGTGGGTCCAGATGTGGCAGACACATGACCAATGCTGGAGGAAACAGTGCACCTTGGGAAACACTGCGAGCAAGAATTTCTCAGCTAAAAGCCACACAACAGGGAGAACCAACGTTCCATGGAACAGTGACCAAGAAAGGCAACAGGGTCTGGTGCTGCTCTTAGGTGGCATCTCCTCGGTCACGTTTCTCAGTGATGAGTTCCACGTGAGAGAATCCCACAGAGCTACATCAAACCAACATCATGTGGATGGAACTCGGGGTGTAGGTGTGCTCCGGGTTTGCGCGATGAATGAATGCATGAAGGATGGAGGATGCTTCAGCTCCTGAGCTCTCAGCCCAGTGCACTGCAGGGAAGTGCGGGAACGGGCACACTTTACCCAGGCACAGAGAAGAATTATATGCCTGCGCTGGGCTCTAAACAATTAACCACTGGTTCCTTGTGAGAGCACCTGGGATCATTAACCCAAGCCATAGGACAGCAAAGGTCAGACAGCATCCTGGGAGTTTTCCTGTAACAGGCACCGTTCACAGGGAACTTGGTCTACGTCTCCCACCCAGAGACACAATTACCACACTCACTGAAGAGGACCAAGGAGAGAACGCCCTTCATACTGACAGGGCCCTGCAGGCCAGAGTCTGCAGAAACCCCAGCCCCTTTCTGCCTGACACTGTCACAGCAGCCGCCCCACATCCAAGCCCTGAAGAGTGGGTCAGGTCTGGACAGGACCAGGTCCTGTCAGCAGGGGCCCACTGCGGCCCACAAGAGGGAGCCACTGCCTGCAGGAGGACACTGTGACAAGTGCACACAAAGCTCTACCAACTGAAGGCTTCCTTCTTTAACCTTTTTTTTTAAAGACCAGAATAATAAGGTTTGTGACTTGAAAGTTTTGTGCTCTAGCTTTTTCATACCTGAAGTTTTTAGTCAAATGAGCGATACCTAGGAAGGCCAGAGCTCAGCCTTCCCGGTCCTGGCCAACCTGAAACCTGACTCGAGTTACTATTTAAATCAGGATTGATTACTATTTAAATCATTTTTTTAAAAATGAAACAAAATTAATAAAAAATTTCTGCTTTTATTTCAAGGAATCCCAAAGTAGGCCTTAAAATTGCCACTTTGGGGAGTACGGTCGCTTACGTCACGGGTCATGCTCAGTTGCTACGTTATTGTTTTGGGAACATGAAAAATAAAATCTGTGCTTGAGCACAATAAATACATCTTATTAAAAACTTTCTTGATTAGTTCCGCATTAATGTTATTTCTATAAAACTTCATTCACTAACAGTTGATTGTTTTATGTGACCAATCCCTGAATTAGCATGGCTCTTTCTTTCTACACTGGGTGACGGTCGATGCCAAGCGAATCTGCCTCCCGTGGCTGCTCGTCCTCGCACGCCTTCTGAATCCACTGAAGGAGCATCAAGAATGTAAAAGCCAGCCACAAAATGAAGACTTTGTTCACAGTCAGGTTTCTCTGAATTTGTTCCTATCTTTATTTCCAGGAGAATAAAAACGTTACAGGTGATGCAAATAGCTCCTAGGTCAAGTGGCCTGTACCCTGTGCTCCAGACTGAGCTGCCTCTGAGCGCGTCACTAGGCCAGCGCCCCAGTGCACACGGCCGCCTTCCTCCACGGTCCAGGTGGCAGCACAGGTCTCCTGGGCTTTGCTGAGGCCCCCAGGGATCAGGGCAAGGTCCACAGCACGTCCACACATCCCAGCCCCCCACATCCCCTGCTCACCTGACCACCATGTCCTTGGGGCCCGCGGTGACAGTGCAGACGCCGTCCTCGCAGTGTTTTCCCACCAGGCTGTGGGCGTGGAGGTGGACATTCTTCCCGTTTGTGACCAGCTGGACAATGACTTTGGCAGGGCCCACGTAGTTGCAGATCTATACAAGAGGCACATTTCAAAAGTTAGAGCACCTGACACTTTGCAACATGTGAAAACGTCTATGGGCAGCCTAAGCCTAAGGCAGGCCAGCCAGGACAACAAGAGCAAAGTAAGAAGCATCACAATCCTGGACCAGCGGTTATATTGCAAAGCTGTAGTGATAAAAACAGCACAAAAAACAGACAAGAGGATCAATGGAGCAGCACAGAGGATGCAGACTAAGTCTAAGCACATTCAACTATTTGATCTTTGACAAAGGGGCCAAAAACACACAAGAAAAAGGACAGCTGCTTTAATAAGAGGGTGCTGGGAACACTATCCACATGCAGAAGACTGAGGCTACAGTCATATACCTCACCACATACTAATATAAAACCAAAGTAGGTCAAAGAACTAAGTGGTAACCCAGAAACACTTAACCTGCGGGGAGACAAGAGGTAAAGCTCCTGAATCACAGATCATAGATAAGGGTGAACCCCAGATGCACAGCAAATCATTCTGAGAACCAACACATGGGACTGGTTCAAACAAAAAAGCTTCTGCACAACAAAGGACAAAACCAGGAGTGAAAAAGAAAACCTATGAATGAGACAAAGCACTCATACAGAATTCAAAGAAATAGGGGTCTCCCAAAATAAAAGACCCAATCAAAAAAAGGGCATCTGGGATGAACGGACATGTCACAGAAGTATGAATGACCAATAAATACATGAAAAAATGTTCAGTGTTGCTGATCATTAGAGAAATGCAAATTATAACAACGCTAAGCTGCCTTTTTACCTCAGAAAGAATGGCATCATCAAAAAATCAAATCACAAATGCTGGAGAGGCTGCTGGTAAAAAGGATTCTCCTGCACTGTTGGTGGGGCTGTAAACTGGTACAACCACTTCAGAAATCAGTGTGACTATTTCTCAAAAAATTGACTAGAAATTCCACTGGACCCAGCTTTCCCGTCCTCCTGAGAGAGTGTTAAAGACCTCACAGAACAGTGATCCACGTGTACCCATGTTTCTAGTGGCACAATGTGGGGTAGCTAACTCTTGGAAATGCCCTCTATGCCCACCAACGATGAATGAACAAAGCAAATGTAGAGTCCTGGTCTGCCATAGAGAAAGTTGAACTTGAGTCATGTGTGGGAAAATGCTGCACCTTGAGGCCATAATGAGGGTGAAATTAACCAAACACACAAAAGCAAATAGTACATGGCTTTTTTTAATATAAGGAATTCAGAGTACAAATAAAAGATAGCTAATGGGAAGTAGGGAGGCAGACGTTTCTCAGGCGGGAAGGGGTGCAAGAGCTGGGTAGGGACAAGGGGGAGGGAAGAGGAGACAGGCCTTGAGATGTGTTGTGACCATGCACCAACTCCACGCAGAGTGTAAACATCATTTACTGCAAACATGGACTGATACAACAAACAATAACAAAACTCCCCCACAAAAACCCACTCCGAAAGCCGAATGAAGAACTACGCCAAAGAAACAAAAAGTATGATGTGAAGCTATGCACGGCTGTGCTCACACGTGGGTGCCACGCTGGGATGATGGACTTCCAGGCGGGGCTGTTTCAGTGGTGAGGGGAGCTTCTCCAGGAAGCCGGCCTCGTAGGTACAGAGGACGGCACTGCCGCTGGGACGAGCATCCCTGGGATGCCGTGTGGTCCTGCCAACCTCCGAAGTGATTCCTCCTGCCAACCTAGCTGCCATTTCCTCAGCACCTTCATTAGAAGCCTGCAGGATCGTGGGCGAAGGCCCACAGGTGAGGCACTCTGCACCCTAACTACCTGCCAGGGGCCGAGACAGCGTGGGACCTGGCTCTGAAGGCCGGTCTTGGACACTTGAGCCCAAGGATGTGGCCCTGTGCCCTGCCCTCTCGGCTAGGAGCTCTTGCTGATGAAGTTACATGTGCTCAGGTCGCAGGAAGTCACTGCAAATTTTGGCTCTGACAGCAGTTTAGTTCTTTGGCTCTTGTTTTATAAAATCAGATTTTTCATTTAGGGTAATTTTTATTTGCACAGCTTTTTTTTTTGTACCAGGGGTCAAACTCATGACTTGTGCTTGCCAGGTAGGCATTTATGCCACTGAGCTAAAATCCCCAGCCCTTGCACAGCTTTCAAATGATGGTTCAGCAATAAAGGAAACAGCGAAAGAGCCTGGACACCTTTCTACTCCAGCTGGCCATCCACCCCCTGTATCAGATCACAGCCTCTGTGACACAGCGTCAGTCCCTCATTCAGCACTAACAGAACAAACAAACAAACAAACCAGTGGCCTGATTTTTACCACCTGAGTCCTGGTAAATCAGAAGCCTGCAATTCACCTGAGTCATTTGCAGGAAAACAGATGGGTCTTAAGGTCACAGTGCTATGTGAAAGTGGTCATAGAAGGTTCACTATCGCGTGGTTTCTCTTACGTGAGAAACCCAAAGGACAAATTTAAGAGCAAAATGAGAGATTTTAGGAAACATGAAGGAGGAGATGGGAAAGGGAAGCCAAAAGGATCAAAATGTTGTGTGTGTTTACACCAGTTCCCCGAGATGAATGGGATATTTACGTATCACAAACACATACACATAATTAAACAAAGACACAGCAGATTCCGCTGGGCTGCTGGGAACGTGCTGTGTCTCTGAAGTAGGCTGACACACACCTGGGGAAGAATTCCACTTGCTGAGGATGCTCCCCAGATGGAGGCGAGCTGGCCCCTTCTCCAGCCCTGTCGCCAGTTGGCTGTGCACCACAGCGAGCTGGGGGGGAAGGGTCTTTCTGGGGTTGCCACAGCAGAAGGAGTTGGTCATGGCTGTGGCTGGTCACCAGGGGTGGGGGGAGGATGTGTTCCCTAAACAGAGAAGGGGCTCTCATCCCCAGCCAAGTCGCTGGGTGAAGGTCGCTCTGAGTCTCCCACACTCACTGAGGGTGGAAGGTGCCCACCAAGTGTGCAGACATCTCCTCTCCTGCAAGGCATCATGGAAGAGATGTAATCCATGGTGCTCAGGAGGCTGGGCCTCTGGGCAGGTTAGGGTCAAAGGAGCTGGGAAGCAGAGGACAGAGCGGGCAGCATGCTTGGACACGGTGCCCATGGGTCCAAGTCCATTCCATGGTGTCTGAGGCAAAGGGCCTGGAGATTTACTTGACCTGAATGCTGCCTGGCCCAGCCTGGAGCCTGAGCAGCACGACACCACTGTTGTCATGGACCACTGACTGGGCTTTTGGACTCCCTGAAGTCCCAAACCGACAGTTTGTAACTTACATGGCACATGAGGAAAGGCTGTGATGCAGCATGCTTTGCGAATGGTTCACAAGTCCTGGGGTCTAGGGATGTCTGAATTCCACTTATTCAACCTCCCTTTTATTTCTTTGACTAGTGATTCCCTTGAAGACTAGGTTCATACAGAGTATATACATCTGTCAGAAGGGTTCCTGTGGAGCCAGGCATGGTAAAATAAGCCTGGAATCCCAGCACAGAGGGAAACTGAGGCAAGAGGACCCCAAGTTCTAAGCCGGTTTGGGCAACGAGAGGGACCTTGTCTCAAAAATATAAGCAAATAATGACAAAAAGGACTGGGGATATAGCTGAATGTGTTCTGGGTTTGATCCCCATTACCAGAGATAGAGAGAGACAGAGAGAAAAGAGAGAGAGAGAGAGAGAGAGAGAGAGAGAGAGAGAGAGAGAGAGAGGCTTCTTTGAAAGAGTCTGAAGACAGCAGGCCCCTAACACTTCCAGGGTGACACAATTCCAGCTTGGATCTCAGATAGCACCAACCAGTCAGCTCCCAGGAATGCAGTGGAGCCCATGTCAGTGGAAGTCACAGCAGCTCAAGGGTGGCAAGGCTGACGTGCATCAGTGAACGCATGCAAGTGCTAACTCGATCTCCTTCACTATGTGTCCTGTGCTCTCCAGGGGTCGCTCCACAGTGCAATCCCCGAGAGGACTTTTCAAGCTGCTCACAGCAGGTGGCTGGAATGAACCGGGAATCCGGCCACTCCTGTTTCTCCACAGGGCTGTGCAGCATCAGGCTTTGTGAGTTTTCCAGTAACAACTGTGACCGTGCAGTAACGGTGTTGTTCTCGGTCTCCTGGTGACATCCAGCACCTTCTGCCTGTAGCTTCATAACACCTTGGTGACCATGGCCACACCCACTATCTCAGTGACATCAGCAAAGCATCTGCCTGTGTTGTCCTGTGGAAAGCATGTGCTGGTTCTTCCAAGGTGGCTCAAATTAGCTGGAATTTTCTAGGAATCGGAATTTGAAACATCCATTTATTCACTGGTAAATTCAGCTGAGTCCCCTCAGCAGGGAGCAGACACCAGCAGACATGAAACTCAAGGCCTGAGAGGAGCTTCTCTGCTTAGGTTTTCTCATTAAATGATGATGAAGATGACAGTGAAGAAGAGGACGGGGAAGCCCCAGTGTTCACACAGAAACCTGGGCTGACCGCTGTGTCCCTGACTCCGTCCTCTCCCACAAAGGGCTGGGTCCCAGCGCTTGGGGCTTGGCAGTGTCACCAGCAGGGCAGGTGGCTGACATTTTGGGTTTCGGTTTCTTGGTTTTTGACATGAAAGCAGCATGGTGCTGGCTGCCCCAGGGCTGTGCCAGGATGGAAGGAGCAGCACGGTGCCAGGCACCCACGGGGTCAGCACACCCACGTGCCGGGAGAGTTTGTCAGACAATGTCTGTTGCAGGAACTGGCCTGGTCAGGAGGTGGCAGAAAGCTCTAGGGGTTTCCGATGGGTTCCGGGGCTGGGCTCTTAGGACAATTCGGGGCATGGGCTCAGCTCCAGTGGACACTATCTTCCTGGGCTTCTGCCTGATCCTACCACCGGGTTGTTTGCCATCTCCATCGCCAAGGGGAGGACCCCAACCTGAGGCCCCACCACCCCTCACCGCATTCACCTACTGGGATGGACGGAAACCAGCAGCCCTGAGAACTCAGAGACAGCAGCCAGACCATGAGCCAGGGGGTCAGCATTGTGCTCGCAGTGTTTCTGTGAGCCAGAA